ATACATACTAGGTATGTACCTGGTAAATACCAAGATACTTACTAGGTACGTACCTGGTAAATACCAAGATACTTACTAGGTACATACCTTGTAAATACCAAGATACTTACTAGGTACTTACCTGGTAAATACCAAGATCCTTACTAGGTACGTACCTGGTAAATACCAAGATCCTTACTAGGTACGTACCTGGTAAACCCCAAGATACTTTCTAGGTACTTACCTGGTAAATACCAACATACTTTCTGGGTTCAAACAGGATACATGGCAGCTTACTTGACAGGGTATATAGCAGGATACTTGCTGGGTACATTCCAAAATACTTTGAATGGGATATGTTTTACATACCAGATAAATACTGGGTAACAAATCACATTATAATACAGCTCAAACCATACAGGTACACAAAAGGTACCAGGTATTTTTATGTACTGCAACCAAACCTGTATGTCCCCGTAATGAAGAATATATTCAGATTTTTGTGTACACTGTATGTGAATGTATTTGTCCTTTTAGCCACAGGAGGGCAGTAATGAGCCTGATATCTGTGAAGTGAAGATGATTCAGGGAAACCAGGTAAAAACTGCTCCACCTGACAAGGACAGCTTCCATCTGTCTCACCTGATGCTGCAGCTTCCGTCTTCTCCTCTTCCTGCGCCTCGTTTCCAATCCAAACAAACACCTGCAGGAGAGAGGAGGTGAGGGCAGTAAGAACGATGCAGAGTTTCACTTTTCATTGAGGCTGCAGGAGGTTTACCTGATCCCAGGCGTCCAGAATCATGACATCATCAGGAGCCAGGTCGTCCTGTGTCAGCTCTCCTGGAACCTCCTCCATCTGAGAAACGGCCAGAGTGATGCTGTTTTTGTCTTTTTAAGCCTTTTGAAACTTTCCTGGTAAATCCACACACATGAACACTTCTAACCAGCTGATGTTTGTACACAACACACACTGACACACCTTGAAGTTTCCAGTTTTGTTGGAGCAAGCGAAGAGGCGAGGAGGATGAGCGTCCATTTTGTTGCTGAGCCTCTGGGAGCGACAGTAGTCCTTTTTCCCTCCCAGCGCTTCCCAGAATGCATCTGTAATCAAAGACGAGCAGCTTCAAGGATTCTGCGGGCGCTAACCGCTCAGGTTGTCCTGGTGGGCTCACCTTCCTCATTCCCCTCCTCCAGCAAGGTGGGGGTCACCTGGAGGATCCCGGCCAGGAATTCAGCCCCCTTAGCTTCAGCCGAGCTGCTGCTCTTCCCTTTCCACATCCAGGATCCGGAGGGAGACGCCAGGAGGAAAACATCATTGGAGTTCAGCTGGGAGGAGCATGCATCTACCTGAGGACGACACAAGTCTGGTTCTAACTGGGTTTTAGTGGACCAGTATTGGTACTGGAGTCCAAACTGAGGTAGAAAGCAGATGAACTTGTTTGTTTCTCACTTAAAATACTTCCTTAGGCCTAAGGGACCTTTGAGCTGTTTCCAGGGACCAGTCACTTTGTTGGACAAAATCAGTTTGGACTGAGAGATTTTTGAGTAAGACCTCTTGAGAATGTCATTTAGAACCTAACGATTCTTGATTTTAACTGTCTACATCAGTGGTGTCCAAAGTCATTCCACGAGGGCTGGTGTCCTGCATGGTTTAAGAGCTCCACTGGTTCAACACAGCTGAACCTAAGTAGAGCCTAATTAGTAGGCCTTTGCGAACCTTGATGGCATACTAAGGAGGCCGACCAATTAAGCACTCCTTAGGTTCATCTGTGTTGAACCAGGGCAGCACCTAAAACATGCAGGACACCGGCCCTTGAGGACTGACTTTGGACACCACTGGTCTGCATGATCCTGTTCTGGACTGAGACGTCCTAAAGTGGACCGCTCCGTCTGGTCTCACCTCCACAGCTCTGGTGTCTCCAGCCGCGTTGGCTCGAACGTGAAACAGGCGTGTCGCAGCAGGTTTCGATTGCCCACCATCTCTGGACGTCCCACCCTTGTAGATCACCATTGGTTTTCCTCCAAAAAGACTCATGAGGTGGGCTGGCTCTTTGCCCTGGACCACCCTCACCTGAGCAGACAGGTAACAGTGTCGCTCCAAGGGATAAATCAAAGTTATGGTACCAGTGTGTCCTGGTCAATGTACCTGAACAGCACCTCCTCCCAGTCCATCGTCCATCTGGACAGCCAGGAGAGCTGATGCTCCAACCTCATCCTGACTGGACTCTGCTCCTTGCCTGAAGAGAGAGCATCAAATAAACCGTTTGTTTTCCACCAGCTGTTTGAACCAGCTGTCAGTGTACCACCCCTCAACCAGTCAGTCCAATCAAGCCAAATGGAAGGAGACTGGTTCAGGTGTTTGGGAACCACCAAGGTTTCCAAACACCTACCTGTCCACAGTCTGATTCAAGAAAATCCACAATAAATTCAAAGTTGTGCCTCTGATTCTTGGTTTTAACTACGGCCATCTTCAATAAACTGCTGCTGAGCTCACCAGATGTAGATGATGTGTCCTTGTCTGTTGTGCTGGTACTGATACTGGATGATGTAACTGTCTCCTCCATAGAACCGACCGTGGAACGCAGAGTCCACCAGAACCTTGTCGGATCCTTCAATTCGCCAGATCTGAACACGGAAAAAGTTAAAGTTCTCACTGGTTTTAGAGTTCGTCTTGCCTTTGTTGGACCTGAAATCCTTATTCTAAGTTCAAGTTAAATCCACATGGAGGTGTTTCTCTATCACCTGTTTCTCTCCGTCCCCCCGGTCCACCATCCCGTACTGCGCTGCCATGGATTCAGACTGGTGAAGCTTTGACACGTCAAACGGCACCTGTCCAATCAGAAGAGTTAGTTCTGGTTCCGCTTCAGGGGAGGTTCTGGTCAAACTCTGAACGGACCGGCCTACCTTCTTGATCTTTGCCACCTTGTTGGAGACGTAAGCTGTTCCCATGCCAACGGTGTCCTCGGGGTTCTTCCAGTTTTTAAAGAACTGTTTGAAGAGCGGTGTTTCCCCGTGCTCAGGGAGGACCTGGACCTGAGGGAAACCAAAGGTCAGACTATTACAGCAGGTAAAAGTAATGCAGGTGAAAAGGAAGTCACTCTCTTTAAAGGCTCTGCCTCTTTGACATTCTTGTGTTTACCTGTGTGTGCGGTGGGTACTTCATCTGCTGGATGAACTTCTCTGCACCTTGAAGAACGGCTTTACGCTCCTCATCATTCGCTTCTTGACCTGCACACACCATGTTTATCACAACCAGCAGGATCACAGGTTGTTAGACAAACACCTGGTTTCTGACCAGCACATGGTTCAAACCTTTCCAGACAAAGATTCGTCCGTTGGCTCCGTTGTCAAGGATGAAACACTCTCCGGACTCCAAAGCATCCTGGGAGAACGGGTTCTGCTCTGCAACCAGTGTCACCTCCATGTCCCCACTTGCACTGGACACCTGAGACACAAGTGAAGACAGAAGGTTAGTTTTATTTAATTTTTTTATATTAAGAAGAGGTAAAAAAAAAAAAAGCAGTGATCTCACAAAGCATTGGTTACCTTGTAGAGCTTAGCCACCTTCCTGTTGGACACATCTGTCTGGGTGTCGTCATTTTGACTTTCTGGAAGGTCTGGTTTCGGTCCAAGAATCTAAAAGACAAACAGGAGGTGATCTAAGTAGGTATCATTATAGAGGTCATGCTGGTCTAACAGAGTCAACAGTCATTTTGTCACTTAGCTGATCAAAGATTACACAAAGGAATGTGACCAAACAGATTTCTGCTGGCGTCACATGGACAACTTCTATAATAAAACAATTTGCAGATGACACCATGCTGTTTTTAATAGAGCCCAATGGACATCTGGTTACTTTTAAAACCAAAAAGGCAGTTTCAGATACAGTATAAATTTTTTACTGACCAGTCTAAAAACACAAAGATTATTTAGACTCTGGCAAAAATTGTGATTGGACAAAATGTTTTTTTTTTTACCTAATTTCCCTCTGGGATCAATAAAGTATTTTTGAATTGAATTGAATTGAATGTTTCTTCTCACTGGACTGAATTTTGGGCCAATTTCTGCTGGGGGTTTGTGTGCTTATGAGCAATTCAAGGTGAAAATTTGTGTATCTTCATGAAAGTTTGTGTTCCCAATTAGTTGCAACAGTCTGGGCCCAGTGTGATCCTACCTTGAGAGTTTACATGCAAAACTGCTAACTGTTTGCTGATTTGTTTATTCAAACAGTTTAACGGCAAGAGCTCCCTCATCAACCAACAGCAGAACATGAGTCTGTGGAACATGATGTCCATCAGAGCGATAAACTGAAACTGATTTAAAAACATGTAGCTGCTGGTTTATCTGTCAGAACATAGATTCTGTTGGATCTTAACAATTAAAAACTAAACTTCGTATCAGTGGATAAGAGAAGAGGTTTCATATTTCATTGATGTTCTGAGGTTCTTCTTTTACTTCATGAATTTGAGTGTAGACCATACAACGTCAAGAGGAACTGGTCAGGAGATCAGCTGTTATTTAAAAATTGACTATATAAGGTCAACAGGAAGTGGTCACAAGGTCAGCTGTTGGTATTGGAGGGTCGACCATATAAGGTCAACAGGAAGTGGTCACAAGGTCAGCTGTTGATACTGGAGGGTCAACCATATAATGTCAACAGGAAGTGGTCATGAAGTCAGCTGTTGGTATTGGAGGGTCGACCATATAAGGTCAACAGGAAATGGTCACGAGGTCAGCTGTTGGTATTGGAGGGTTGACCATATAAAGTCAACAGGAAGTAGTCAAGAGGTCAGCTGATTTATTGGAGGGTCGACCATATAAGGTCAACAGGAAGTGGTCAAAAGTTCAGTTGTTGGTATTGGAGGGTCGACCATATAAGGTCAACAGGAAGTGGTCAAAAGATCAGCTGTTGTAATGGAGGGTCAACCATATAAGGTAAACATAACGTGGTCACAAGGTCAGCTACTGGTATTGGAGGGTCAACCATATAACTGTCAAAAGGAAGTGGTCATGGGGTCACCTGTTGTTATTTGAGGGTAGACCATATAAGGTCAAAAGGAAGAGGCAAAAAGGTTAGTTGTTAGCATTTGAATGTTGACCATACAATGTCAATAGGAAGTGGTCAAAAGTATAACTGTTGGTACTGGAGGGTTGACCATACAAGGTTAAAAAGAAGTGGTCACGAAGTTAGTTGTTGGTATTGAAAAGTTGACTATTTAAGGTCAACAGGAAGTGGTGGTCAGCTGTGAGTTTTAGTCACATGATATACTCTGCTTGTGTCATTACCTCCAACATCTCTGCTGGCTCAGCCCCCTCATCAACGACCACGATCTCAGCCCGCCCACACCTCTCACTGTCATGGATACTCTTGGACACCTGTTGAATCAGGCAGTCAGTCACCTGTATTGTCTGCTGTCATGGTATTAATGATGTCATGTGATGATGTCATCACTCACCAAGGTCGCCTTCAGCTTCTCAAATCTGTTGCTTTGGCTGCCGGACCACTGGATGATTTTCTGTTGAGGGGAACAAAATGTCCTGTCACATTTCAGTTTGATTATGTAAATGCTGAGTCAGCGTTTAGACTGTCCCTCACCACCTGTCCCCCACCACCTGTCTCACCTCTCCCAGGTCCAGTATGAAACTGTCTCCCTGGTTGAAACTCTCCCACCTCATTGGAACTTCTGTTGCCCTGACCACACGGCGACCTTTGACCTGCAGCAGTCTCTTAACCTCCACATCATTGGTCTCCACGTGTTTGAACCCTGAGGCCACACCCCCTTTCTGAATAAGGACAGACAAGGAAATCCACAGTTTTATAATGCGATTAGAGAAACTTGTGACATGGTTCTGGTGGTTCTGCTCATGCGGTTACCATGTATGTGAGGCCCGTTTTGAAGTACCCGCTGAAGGTGGTGGACTCGTAGCCTTGGACTTCTCGGTACTGGACCGGCGCCCCCTCCAGGAAGTCATCCATCTGAACCGCAAGGATGGCTGCGGCTCCACTTTCATCCTGGGAGCACTCGGAACCTGAGGCAGAACCAACCAATCAGAGCCAGCCGAACCTCGGCCGTAAACACTGAGATGTACTCGGGTTGTTTACTGTTTGTGTTGTTGTTGTTGTTTGTGTTGTTGTTGTTTGGGCTCACCTTGCCAGTAGTGCAGGTCGTACTGCATGGCTCCTTTGCGGTTGCTGGTGGTGTTCAGAACCAGGTAGGCGTCTCCGGTGTAGAACTGTCCATACATATTCTCGGGGACGGGAACCAGTTCCATCTTCTCCACGCGCCACACCTGGAGCCCCGCCTTCTTGCCGGCACGCTTAAACTCTGGATGGGATACCATGTTGTCACCTGTAGTGGGCGGGGCATAACGAGTCACATTGACGCATGACCAAAGCATGTTTTACGTGTTCAGCGGTGATTCTTCCTGCTCCGGAACCAGTCTAACGTTTGATTGACCGCATTTCCAGAACTCTGAAGGATCAGATTCTGATAAACACCTGAGGAGAAATAAGTTACGAAGGCTGTCGTCTCAAATATCAGGTCAAGAAAGAGGAAGTATGTGGCTCCTGCTCGAACCTGATTGGCTGAGGACGACTGTGGCTCAGAGCTGATTAGTTCAGAAGTTGAATCGAAAACAAATGAAACAGAACAAAGGAAATTTAATGTCAATAAAAGAGGAAGATGACAAATTAATGAGCCATGTTTCCTGGGAAAATAGGAAATAAAAAAAACAAAATTTTAAAAAAGCAATGTAGAAACGAGAACAAATAATTTAAAATTAAAATGAGTCAGCATCAAACTTCTGCTCTGCTTTTATTTATTTATTTTTGTATGTTTGGGACTTTTTAGTTTTATACTTTTTAAAATATTTGACTGAAAATAAGAATCTCCATTCTTCAGTTCCTGCAGAAACACTTTCGCACCTGGCTCTGTTTGGTTTTCATGTGCTACTTTTAGCTTTCACATAGCCTTTTATTCCTGTTATTTAATAGCTAATGTTCTGCTACATGAAGACAGGAAACAAGAAATGAAAGAGACACACCTGAAACTCAGATGAACGAGTCCTGCAGGTGGATAATAAGACATGGATCACTTTAAAATGACCTTTATAATCATCTTATAACCATTTTAAACTGATTCTGAACCCTTAAAATATTTATTTCAACAACAACCATCGCACTAACATGCACTTAGAACATTTTGACAGTTTGGACTTTTTAAAATTAGATTTTAGCATCTTTAGAAGCATGAGGAACAAAAGCAGCTCTTGTCATCAGGTGGGCTCAAGCTGACTTTTAAATGTGTTGAACAGGTCAAACTCACCTTCAGTGTCTTTTAGGAGTCTTCTTCAGCTGGACACAAGTGCTGACAGAGGAAGGTGGGTCTGCAGGTAACTTTACCTGTCAGCCCCACCCCCCACTCTGCTGCAGGAGGCACACCCAGCTGACTCAAGCATGAACAAATGACATGTGAAACATGAAGCAACCTGAGAGGAAAACTCACACACTCAAGCAGTCGCTGTGAGGAAACTAATATTATCTTCTTTTTAATTTCAAATAAACATGTTTCTGGTGGTCTCGTTAATATTTCATGTTCAGTGTTTTATGTAAAAGAAATACCCAACAACTAAGAGCCTTAGCTTCCTTTTCTGAAAACTGCTACAGTGTGTGTTCAAAATTGTAAATATCCATGTTATAAGCAAAGACAAAGATCATGTCCAGCAGCTTCAACTGACCACAGCTGACAAGGTCATTAAAAATAGCGGGTCAACTTTGGTCAACGTCCCAGGATGTGGACGCAAGAAGAAATTCGACCCCAGGTTGATCAGGTAGAAAGAGCCAAAGAGACTACTTGAGTTGTCACATTTTTCTAACTCTAACCCTTCAATAAAGTTGGAAGAAAAAATAAATTTATAAGTGTAAAAAAATAAATAAAAGTTTAAATTAAATGTCGCTATTTTCGAGTACTATCACGTCACTGGTATTGATACAACGTCACATCCGGATGTCTTTCGTTGCGGTTTTATTTTGAAAGTACAGACCGGAAAAGCATATTTGAAGCTTGCAGCTGTCAGTTTTGGGTCAACATGTGGCAGTAAACCGAGCCGAAGCGATCCGAACCCGGTACCGGACGTCGAAGCAGAATGGAGACGTTCAGCAAGCTGGGCAGCTTGTTGCTGCGCGCGCTGGAGACGGTGAGTTCAGCCGCTCCAGGTCTTCAGCTGGGCTAAGCTAACTATTAGCTTCCGGTGAAAAGTTGAACAAAGTTCGAGTTAGATCATGGAGATAATACTTTGACTTGGTTTATTTTAGAATAAATGTTTGTGTCGATGGTTAGTGACGGTGGAGGACGAAGACAGAGACACTGTCTCTCGGTCTGTCCACCTGTTTGACAGGGAGCTAATGGATGCTAACAGCTAATTGTTTACTTGCTACAGGTGAGCAACTGAGTCTGCGCAGAAACTGAGCTGTCAGTTATAAAGTTATAAACTTAACAAAAATAAATAAATAATTACTAAATAAAATAAATTTTCATAATAAAGCTATTTTAGCTAAATGTGAGCCATCACATCGAAACGAGGATTAAGTGGAGAAATAAGCAGAGATGCTTGCAAAAATTGCATTTAGTCAAAATAACAAATAAATGTGTTTTCAATGTATCATTTCAATGAACTGTCTGAAATATCCTAAAAAAAATTGAAGCACTTTTTTGAGCAGTGGCTACCAAAAACCTGATTTTGAGGAAAAACTCCTTAAAATGTTGAGATTTTCAATGTGAGCTATCAAAGCTTTTGTTTCTTTGTAGATGAGAAATCTCAATATTCAAATACAAACTGAGGTTTCCTTTTTCAAATTACATAAAAAAACTCATTAAAATTAAGATTCAGACCAAATATTTATGTATTATTGTCACTAACAAGACAAATTAAATAATATTTCTGGATCTACTAATGATATCAGGAATATCTAAGTATCAAAATGTAGCTTTTAAAGCCAAGAATCTGAAAATAAGATTAGTTCATTTTGACCAAATTTGACTTAATCCTCATTTTGATGTGACGGGTCACATTTATAAGCTCAAGTTTACGACATTTTCTGCAAAATTTATGGAATAAAAAGATGGAATTCACCAATCAGTTCGAGAAGGGGTTAACTGCGGAATCAAAGTGGGCGTGTCACAAGAGTGGGCGTGTCTAAAGCATAAAAACTGTGGGCTATGAGGCCTACATGACGGTATCTTTAGACCCTGTTTGATCTCTTTACAGCCTGACCCTGACCCCAACACTAAGGTTAACCAGGAGAAATGTGACCCAAGAAGGGGTCTCCAGAAAAAGTGTTGCCGTACGGTAACGCCCCTTTTATTCTTGTCCAATCAAGTTTGTCCCTTTAACAAATTCTGTCAAATCAGCTGTGTCGCTTTAGAATTGCCTTTCCTTGTGACACACCCACTCGTCCGCAGAGACCCCTACTTGATCAGTTCTGACTTTAAGCTCCAGCTGTCCCCTCTGTTTCAGAGGGAGCCCACCGTGGAGCTGCTGGAGTCTTTTATCGATCACTGGAAGTCAATAACTAATTACTACATTCAGACCACAGGTGAGCAGCTTTTACCTGCAGCAGCATCCTGAGCGTCACCTGATCATCTCTTCACCTGTGTGTGTGTGTGTGTGTGTGTGTGTGTGTGTGTGTGTGTGTGTGTGTGTGTGTG